CCCAATTCAACTAAGTTCATAATTAGAAACTGTCTTGCATCTACCAAATCACTAATTAAGTCTATCCCCTGAGGAATACATTTTATGTAAAGATTTACCTAAACTCGAAATTTACACATTTAAAATTATATTAATACAAATTGAATCAACATTTGTTTTATTTTTAAAAAATTGTAATTTTAGATATTATATTTTTCATGGACTACTGAATTATACTATTTAACATATAAGCCCACCAAATTAAAATTAAATTTTATTGATTTCCCAAAATTCGAAAGATAATGATGTTTAAGTGGAATCACATGCATGTTGGACCAATAATTAATTGAAAACTGAAATATGCACTAATCAAAGTCAGTATCATATCATATGGTTGTCAAATTTGAGACTTAATTTTTGACCTAATCGCTGTATACTAAATTAATCACCAAATAATCAATGGGTTAATTCAAGTAGTAAGCATCTTGATACCATTTAAGCAATGTCTCAGAATATTCGAGTATTGTATACAGAAAATCCCTGCTAAAAGACTCACCTATCAAAATCAGGTGTGTAATCCGGGTCGGTCCAAATTAGTCTGGACTAAGTCTTGGAACTGGAGGCAACCAAAAAATAATAATCACCAAATACATTATTGGATGTTATACTTCACTCATTTTCCGTTATTGCCATATCAAATAGGTAGCCTTCCAATAACTAGCCATTCCTTTCAAATGCAATATAGGTTACGTTAAAAGTCATGTCGTTTAGTTAATTCATTCATGCGTTCGAATTTATCAGTGCATGTTAAATTGAGTGATAGTAAATTTGATGTATTTTTTTTATGAAAGCAGCTAGTTTCATTAAAAATAAAAAATATTCAGAATTATAATGAATATTTATAAATATAATGTAATCGTAAACAAAATTATAATTAGAATATTTTCCTATAATCATTGACATAAAAACTAATCACCTAGATCACACAATGACCAAATAAGCAAAAAAATTTAATATTTAACCAAAAAACTCGAACAAAATAAAGATAAACACAAATCTATCTGCATCGTTAAACGAACCACAAAAGTGAGTAAAACTATTGAAGGCCACCGATAAATCGCAAATCAGAGTCAAACGACATAAAAAAACTATCCACGAACGCAAAACGCGTATATCCAAATCAATTCGAGGGTCCAAAGGAGGGAAGATCATCATGATAACAAATAAGCGCTATCTTGATCTGTCATGGCGAAGTCAAATCTAATTCTGAAAAAAAATAAACGAAAATAACAACAAAAAATTGTAAGCTACCAAAAGGTAGAGAAAAACGTGTCATAAAGGTAGAGAATATGTAACAAAGACATTATTATTATTATTATTAAAAAAACTAAAAAACAAAGAAAAAGATAATCGGAGGGCGGCAACCAACATCAAAATCGGTGCCGTCGCCGGTTAAACAAAATTAAAAAAAATGTTAGATTGATCAATAAAATTGACACAATTTATAAAGGAAAAAAAGGAAAGAGGGAAGAGGAGGAGGAAGAAAGCGACTAGAATTCGATATATCTTTAAAATGATAAATTTAATGTTTTCATCATATTTTTATACAAAATGATAAATTATACATTTCACCACCCAACTTTCTTCTAACTCTTATTTTAATCATTAAAATTTTGAAATTGTAATTTATTCACAAAACTTTCAATTTATTCATATTTTGGTCACTTTGCCTTTAAATACTTGACGATATTATGACATGATATTTTTCTTTTTGAATCATGAAATGATCCCAAAACTTGTTTTATTTTTTAATAAAAAAACTTAGAGTTTCTAATTCCATTTGATTTCTTGATGATGAAACATCTTCTTCCAAATTCTAATATTGGGGAGGTGAGAATGAGGAAGCAAGTTGTATATATTGATTCCGTGTTGATCATCAATCATAAAAGTAAAAAAGTGAGATTAAAAAAATTAAAGGCCTCAATTACAAAGATAAAAAATAGGATTATAAAATTTAGGGATCTCAATTATAAAAAAAATTAATATTTTAAAACAAAATGACTCAATTATAAAAATTAAAAATATAATAAAAAAATTAGAAGTTCTATAAAAGATGAGAACCTTGAGCGGTTGTTCAGGTGCACCCTAATAATCGTTGTCATAGCATCCTTCTATCTGTGATTTGATTATTTTTGAAGAATAAATAAAAGATATCAACTTGAGTAGGTAAAAGGAATTGAGTATATCAAGTCGAAAATCGAAAGCTAAAAGGATTGGATAAACTATGTAAATAGTCCCTTATGTTTTTTGTTCTGATCGAATTCAGTCACTAATTTAAAAATTAAAGGAGAATTGTCCCTATCATTATTGGTCTATTTGATTTTATTCTCTCAATCATTAACCCTCGTTTGATTTTAGTCTCTCAGTCATGTTAGGGACTTAAACAAAAGGGGTTAACAAAAATTAATGGCTGAGGGACTAAAATCAAACGGATCGATAATATTAGAGACCATTTTCCCTTATTTTTAAATTGGTGACCGAAATAAGACAAATTCTAAACATAGGAGACTATCCCCATAGTTTACCCAAAAGGATTTGATGAGAAAACATGGAATTCGACGACACTTGCCTGTTGTCCAAGCCGAGTCGGTGTAGTAACTTGGACAATCTTATGGTCAAACATACTTTTGCCATGTCTATATTTGTTTGAAAATTGAAGAAAATAACCAAAGATGAATCATTGTTTAATTGAAATAGGAAAAAGACTGCATGATCAGATGAAATTATTCTCTGCAAGTTTTCAAAAAGATTAGATCCATGGAACCATGCACATGAAAAGGATTCAAAGCTGTCCAAGATGTCCCTACCAATATTATAATAAAATTTTCATTTTTGATATATTTATATATTTTTAGATAAAATAATTAAAAGTTTTTAGTGCCTAAATCATAAAGTTTTGTTCGTTTTAATGTCCAAACTTTCAGTTTTTTTAAAATCATATCTTACGTGTAGTTTTTGTTTCATTTTAATACTATGTCGTTAAAAACTTGACATGTTTAGTACCTAAACTATCAATTCTAGTCTTTTTAATACATAAACTTTCAATTTTTTCAAGACTTACGTTAAATTTTTAACATGGTACTAAAATGAAATAAAAACTAAACGTTATGCGTGATTTTGAAAAAAAATAAAAAATGTAAATATCAAAACGAGAAAATAACCTCATTCGCAACGCGATCTCCGGTATCGCAAATCAGTTTCCAGATTCGCAACGCAATAGTCGAAGTTTGTGTTGCGATTCATTCTAATTCGTTGCGATAGGCGAAGTTCGCGTTGCGATTCCTTCCAAATTCGTTGCGATAGTCCAAATATTGCATTTGTTTCTTAAGAATTTTTTCTAAAAAGATAGAATTTGCGCGGACGTGTCGAAGACACGTATGACCACGACCACGACCACGACCACGACCCGAGACGAGACGGCGGCGGCGGCGGCGCGCGAGAGTCCCCCTTGTTCTCTATCACTCAACAAGGAAGTGGGAAAATCAAGCCTTAAATACCATTCCCAATAGTGTTTCCAATATTATGTGGGATTGAGCATTATAACACTTGTTTCCAATACCATTACCTTCATTGTTGTAAGAGTTTAATTTTGAAACTAAAAAAATATTTATTCGAATAAATAACTTACCCTTTGAGGACTTTGATCATAAATGAAGTAATTGCTAAAACTAACTCTGATTCGAATTCTTATAGTGTTCAAATGACTTACTTGCAAAGAGTAGATGATGACCAAACAACTCGATATGTTTCCTTTGTGTCATTATCAGCTAGTTTTCGTAGCATCCTCGGTTGAAAACTTCCATCATTGTCTCCTTTGCATTTGTTTGGTTAATATTTTTCTTCCATCAAAGTCCTCAAATGGTAAGTTATTTATTCGAATAAATATTTTTTTAGTTTCAAAATTAAATTCTTACAGACAATGAAGGTAATGGTATTGGAAACAAGTGTTGGTAATGCTCAATCCCACATAGTATTGGAAACACTATTGGGAATGGTATTTAAGGCTTGGCTTTCCCACTTCCTTGTTGAGTGATAGAGAACAAGGGGGACTCTCGCGCGCCGCCGCCGTCCCGTCTCGAGTCGGGTCGTGGTCGTGGTCGTGGTAATACGTGTCTTCGACACGTCCGCGCGAATTCTATCTCTTTAGAGAAAATTCTTAAGAAACAAATACAATATTTGGACTATAGCAACGAATTTGGAATGAATCGCAACGCGAACTTCGCCTATCGCAACGAATTGGAATGAATCGCAACGCGAACTTCGCCTGTCGCAACTAATTGGAATGAATCGCAACGCGAACTTCGTCTATCGCAACGAATTTGGAATAAATCGCAAAGCGAACTTCGACTATCGCGTTGCGAATCTGGAAACTGATTTGCGATACCGGAGATCGCGTTGTGAATTATCGATCGCATTGCGATTTACTTGGTCATTTTGGCAAATCCAAAAAAAATTTGTCAAAATCGTATATTACAAGGCATTTTCGGTCACTGAGGTTATTTTCTCTATCAAAACAGGCCAAAATTGATTAGTTTAGCTACTAAACAAGTCATTTACCCACAAATGAATAGTGGGGAATGAATGAAGCAAGCTGTAAAACGCGTTTGGGGGTCACACTGATATAGTCAGTTAGGGTTTAGTCTGCTTCTGAGAAAAGAAGCCATGAATATGGTGCTACAATTGATGTCATTAATATGGTCCTGCAAAATATTTCACTGAAGAAAACATTAATAGTAATTTATGTAGATAAAATGGATTCACCGCCGACGCAAGTCACAAATGCAGTCGCTAAAAACAATGATTCAGGTCACCCAAGTCAACAGTCATCTTCAAGACTCAACCTCCCCATTTAATTCCCTCACCTTCCTCTCCGTCTAAATCTCCATAAATATTCATTGCACTCTCTCCCTCTGTCATCTTCACCACATGCAAAGCTTCTTTCTTCAACCTCCAAGTACAAAGCTTCGTTCTCCAACATGCCAAATCTCCCCTCACCCTCATTCTCTCTGCAGGTTTTATTTGTGGCTCTTTGTTTCTGCGCCTGCTCGCACGCCGGCAGCAGCAGAAGCGGCAATGATTTTTTCGGAGCCGAGTGTTTGGCTGTGCCGGCGGCCGAGTTTGCTGGCTCTCTAAGGACCACCATCGATGCTGTAAGAAAAGTGACACCCATCGTCTCTCGGTTTGGCAACCTTTTTGGTGATTTTCGACTTTCTAATGCCATTTCTGATTGCCTTGATCTCCTGGATTTTTCTGCTGATCAACTTAGCTGGTCCCTGTCTGCTTCCCAGAATCCAACAGGTACTTCACCATAAACCCTTTTTGGTAAAATTGCGGTTTTCATCCCTATATTTTCTCAAACCTTTTATTTATGCCACTAGCTTTATAATATTTTTGTTTTGTTGAAATAGTCGACGCCATTATTTATTTTGATTAATATAGATTTTTATTTAGAGCAACCATTTCAGTACAGAAAAATGCATGCATGATACTTAAAAGCAAGCAGTACTGAATTTTGAACATAAAAGAGGGGGCAAAAGAAGAATTTTACCTATATTAAACTTAGGTAAATTATGTTTTTATTACCCTGAGTTTTGGTCCGTTTTAGTGCATAAACTTTCAGTTTTTTAAAATCATACCTAAAGTTTAGTTTTTGTTTCATTTAAGTACTCACAGTTAAAAACTTTAATTTTTGTTTCATTTTAGTACTCTGGTTCAAAATTTACGTTAAGTTTTGAAAATATTGAAAGTTTAAGTATTAAAATAGATCAAACCGATAGTTTAGGTATTATACGCGTGAAGTTTTCTACGACAATGTACTAAAATGAAACAAAAACTAAAATTTAGATATGATTTTGAAAAAAATAATAGTTTAGGTACTACAATGGATCAAAACTGATAGTTTAAGTACTAAATATGTAATTTACCCATTAAACTTTTGTGGCCTCTAGTTAACTTTAATTCAACAATATAATTTCCAAATTTGCAGGTAATAAACATAACAGCACTGGTGACGTGTCTTCTGATTTAAGGACATGGTTAAGTGCTGCAATGGCGAATCAGCAAACATGCATGGAAGGGTTCGACGGTACAAACGGCATCGCCAAAACGGTAGTCTCCGTGAGTCTGAACCAAGTCACTTCACTGGTCAGTAACCTTCTCACCATGGTGCACCCAGGTCCCAGTTCCAAGTCCAACGAAGCCGCCGTCTCCGCCACTAACCGTGGCCGGGGAAGTGCAAGGAACACCCGGTTTCCGACGTGGTACAAGAGGGAAGACCGGAGATTGTTGCAAGCAAATGGGGTAACGGCTGATGTCGTGGTTGCAGCAGACGGGACCGGGAACTTCACGACTATAATGGACGCTGTGATGGCGGCTCCAGATTACAGTATGAACAGATTTGTTATTTACGTTAAAAAGGGTATGTATAAAGAGAATGTGGAAATCAAGAAAAAGAAATGGAACCTTGTGATGATCGGTGATGGAATGGACGTGACAGTCGTATCGGGGAACCGAAGCTTCATTGATGGTTGGACCACGTTTCGATCTGCAACATTTGGTGAGTGCATCACTTTTTTTTAATGAAATTGTAACATTCGATTTTCCGATCGTCTCGATTCCGACTCGAAAATTAAAAGTTCTCACTTGATGTCAATAGTAATGTTATTGTCCTAAAATATGCAGCTGTAAGTGGAAGAGGATTCTTAGCAAGGGACATAACATTTGAGAACACGGCAGGACCCGAGAAACACCAAGCGGTAGCACTTCGATCCGATTCCGACCTCTCGGTTTTCTTCCGATGTGCCATTAGGGGCTACCAAGACTCCCTCTACACTCACACGATGCGTCAATTCTTCCGTGATTGCAAGATCACCGGAACCGTGGATTTCATATTCGGCGACGCGGTTGTTGTGTTCCAAAACTGCCAAATCCTAGCCAAGCAAGGCCTACCGAATCAGAAAAACACGATCACCGCGCAAGGTCGGAAAGATCCGAACCAGCCGACGGGGTTCTCGATCCAATTCTGCAACATCACAGCCGATACGGATCTGTTACCTAATGTTAACTCGACTGCTACATACCTTGGGAGGCCCTGGAAACTGTATTCAAGAACCGTTATCATGAAATCACACATCGGTAGTTCTATAAGGCCACAAGGGTGGCTTGAATGGAACCAAGATTTTGCTTTGGACACATTGTATTATGCCGAGTTCATGAATTTCGGCCCCGGTGCCGATCTCCGGAGCAGGGTTCAATGGCCCGGCTACCATGCTTTGAATAACTCGGCTCAAGCCGGGAATTTTACTGTGGCTCAGTTCATTGAAGGGGACTTGTGGTTGCCGTCGACTGGGGTTACATATACTGCAGGATTAGTGGTATAATTTAGCAGTCAATGGACCATCATTTAATTTGGTTGTAGTATAACACGACATATGGTGTTATTTTGTGTTTAATTTCTTTCGTTTATAAAAGTTATGTTTATTTTCATTTTACGATAATTTGTTCAAAAAATTTCAAATATTTGACATTAAACGTTCATACAACTTTATATATGTGGTGTTTATATCCAAAATCTCAGAATAATAATAATTTTTTAATCATTATGATCGTTTGATTCGTATTTGGTCAATAATTAATTGAAAATTTTTGGGTGTTGTATTATAGCCTTCCATTAACTAGCCATTCCTTTCAAATTTAATATACTTTAGATTAAGTAGACGAGTTCTTAATTGAATGGTTCTCGAAATTAGATGTCTCATTAGATGTTACATTTTGATTTCGTTTTAATCTTCATTTATTAAAAAAAAGAACGAAATTAATATGTTATTATAAAGTAATATCACGTCATCATTGAAAAATAAAAAATTTACCACATTAACAATTCTATTTATTTTAATCACGGATGACCAAAACATAACATTATATATAATTTTTTAAAAAAATTTAAATTACCCAAACATGATAAGTGAATATCTAATACAAAGTTCAATAGTTTACCCTAATTTTTAATATGCATGGATCCTTATGGGTTTAGGTTTAAAATATATATTAAACATTTTTTATTAATTCAATTAATTAATTAATTTCAAACTAATTAAATGATAAATGAAATTTGGAAAAAGTTTAATATTACAGTTGTGGACATTACAATATAATTTAAAAAAAAATTATGATTTTATGTTGAGGATACGGTTTACAGTGTCACGATGATCTTGAAAAATTGCAATTAAGAGTGCTTAATGAGTTGAGTAGCTCAAACTCGACTTAGTCAAAATTCGATAAAAACTCGATTCGGGTAGACTCGACTTGAATTCGAGCTCGACTCGAGACTTTAACGAGCTTAATCGAGCAAATTTTTTTAACATGATGTTTAGTCATGGCTTAAGCAGAAAATTATAAAAGAAAAAAAGAATCTAAGCATGTGATTATTATTTATGAAGGGACAAAAGTGAAATGCAATTGACATAATCCCGTGAGCAACCATGAGACAATCGTCAACTTGCTTAATTTTATTATGCTAATTAAGATTAGGGTCAAGTACACAAACGGTCCTCTGATTATAGGATATTATTTTATTGAGTCCCTTGACTATTAAAAGTTATAAAATGATCCATCGACTATAGGTAGTTGCTTTGTTGAGTCCTTTAACTATTAAAAGTTACAAAATGGTCACTCGACTATTCATTATGTTTCAAACTCGTCCTTTTTTAAAAAAAAATTAACGGTCATCTAGGTTGGACGTTAGCATGCTGATTGAGACATGATAGTCGTTTGAGATTATGAGATCATATTTTATCATATCTCAGTTAATAAGTTAACGTAAAGCTCATATTGTCGTCATTTTTTAACCAAAAACGATGAGTTTAGAACATAATGAATAGTTGAATGACTATATTGTAACTTTTAATAGTCAAGAGACTTAAAAAAGCAACTCCCTATGATCGGATGACTATTTTATAGTTTTTAATAGTTGATGGACTTAATTAAACAATATTCTATTATCAAGGGACCGTTTATATACTTTACCCTTACGATTATAACAATTTCATTACCGTACTCGTTCTTAAATATGGCTTGTTAGATTGAAAAAGTAAAAATTAATTTAAAAAAACTGTGGCAGCACTGAATTATTTGACATGAGATGCATGTGAAGAAAAATGGGTGCCCATGATAAAGCCCTCACCTTCATTTATGTGTTTGTATTTATTCATGGCATTGCCCCAACAATCTTCCTACATCACCATCTTCTCATTCATTAACCAATAAAAAAGGTAAAACTACGTGTTTAGTATATAAACTATTAGTTTTGGTCCGTTTTAGTACACAAACTTTTAATTTTTCAAAACCACACCTAACGTTTAGTTTTTGTTTCATTTTAGTACCAATGTTCGAAATTTAATGTTTTTTTTGAAAGTTTAGGTACTAAAACGGATCAAAATTGATAGTTTAGGTACTGAACACGTTAAGTTTTTAACGGTGGGTACTAGAATAAAACAAAAACTAAACGTTAGGTATGATTTTGAAAAAAATTAGTTACTGATAATTTAGGTACTAAATACATAATTTACCCCAAAAAATACATACATATTTAATTAAAGAAATCAATTAACATTTCCCTTAAATTGCGGTTGGATGAATCTAAAATATTAATATTTTTCTTATCATTTTCCGGTTAAAAACTTTCTTTATAATATTTTCGATTCAACAAAAAAATATTAAAAAATTAACGTTTTAAATTGCGTCTGATAAAAAAATATTATAATTTTATGACATTTTTATATCACACTTATTTTCTATCGTTTCTTAACCTTAAATTAGTTGACAAGTACTAATCAAAGTTCCGCGTATTCTTTGGTACTTAAATTTAGACATTTCTGCAAAGTTATTAAAATAATAGCACCGTATTTAACTTTGTATTCTTGTTACAGGTACAAAGTCACATAATAATGTTAAAATTCAATTAAATTCCCTATTGTTCATAACTTTTTAATACATTTATTTTTCTTGTCTCGAGATATCTAATAATCACATAAAATTCATTATATATATATAATATAAGTAATTATAAAAATGATTATAAAATAAAGTTTATTCATAATTTTATTTATCATTAATAACGAATATTTTATAAACATTTCTTAAACCTATCTCGAAAAATACCTTCTTTTAATCATTTTTGATTGAAAAACTTTTTATTTAAGGTAAATTATTCTTAATATTAAAAAATAACGTTTTTTGATTTTAATACTTAATTTTATTTTTTTAATCACATTAATTTTAGTTTTTTTTTGTTTAGTACAATCAAAGCTCCGCGTTTTCCTTGGTACTTAAATTTAGACATTTCTGCAAAGTTATTAAAATAATAGCACCGTATTTAACTTTGTATTCTTGTTACAGGTACAAAGTCACATAATAATGTTAAAATTCAATTAAATTCCCTATTGTTCATAACTTTTTAATACATTTATTTTTCTTGTCTCGAGATATCTAATAATCACATAAAATTCAATTATATATATATATATATATAAAGTAATTATATAAAATGATTATAAAATAAAGTTTATTCATAATTTTATTTTATCATTAATAACGAATATTTTATAAACAATTTCTTAAACCTAAGATCTCAGAAAAAGATACCGTTTTCTTCAATCACTGCAATCAATTAATGAGCTCTGAACTCACAATTTTATTTAAGGTAAATTATTTTTTATTATCTAAACTAACGGTTTTGGTTTATTTTAATACTTAAACTTTTATTTTTTTTCAAAATCATATATGTTTAGTTTTTTTTTTGTTTTAGTATCTCGTTAGTAAAAACTTAACGGATTTACATGTGACACCTTTTTTATGGGTAAATTACATCATTCGTCACTCATCTACCTTCTCACTCCTATTTTGGTCATAAAGTTAATTTTTTTATTTAATTACTTAACTTTCAAATTACTTCTAATTTAATCACTATAACTTTTAAATTTATTTTTTATTTTAATTATATATTAATAAAATAATAATAAAAATAATATGTCAAAAAATATTAACAAAATAAATTAGAGTGATTAAAATAGGAGCAATTTGAAAGTTGAGTAGTTAAATTTAAGGGTAAATTACAAATTTCATCACTAAACTTTACTCTCTCTCCTATTTTACTCACTAAACTTTAAAAGTTTTCAATTTCCTCAATGAACTTAGTACATTTGGGTTTTTTTCGGTCACTCTGTCGTTAAAGAGTTAATGACGTTAAAACAACGCTATTTTAAAAAAAATTACACCAAAACGACGTCGTTTTGCATCAATATAAAAGCCCATTTATAACAGTGTTAGTGAGAAAACGGATGGGTGACTAAAAAACCCCAATATATTAAGTTTAGTGAGGAAATTGAAAAGATTTAAAGTACAGTGAGTGAAATAGGAGAGAGAGTAAAGTTCAATTATCAAATTTGTATTTCACCCTAATGAAAGTTTTTACACTTTTAGTATCAAAATAGGAGTTATAAGATAGTTGAGTAATGAATGATGTAATTTACCCATAAAACTAGATACTAAATCAGATCAAAATTAATAGTTTAGATATTAAACCCGTAATTTAACCTTTTATTTAAATACAAGAACATGTCAGTGAACACATTTTTTTTTCAAGTATCAATATGGTCTCTCAGTCGCAATTCTCAACAATTTGACTTGTCTGATATCTCATGGTTCTCCTATAAAATAAGCAAAGATCTTTTAACCTTCTGCAACCACCACCTTTCCATGGCTACCACCATTATCAAACTCTTCATCACTCTCTATTTCACCTTCTCTTTCTCTTCAACTTTAGCTGTAAACTCTTCTTCAACAACAAACCTAGACTCCAGTCTCTCTTCCATACGGAACTTCTGTCGATCAACACCATACCCAGACGCTTGTTTCGATTCATTGAAGCTTTCCATTTCAATAAACATCAGTCCCAACATACTAAACTACCTTCTTCAAACACTCGACACCGCGTTATCCGAAGCCGGAAAGCTCACGAACGCTTTCTCCGACGGCGGAAAGGCGAACGACATCGTCGAGAAACAGAGAGGGACAATGCAGGATTGCAAGGAGCTCCACGAGATCACACTGTCTTCCTTGAAAAAATCAGTGTCGAGAATCAAATCAGGCGATTCGAAGCAACTGCCCGATGCAAGATCCTATCTCAGTGCAGCACTAACGAACAAGAACACGTGTTTGGAAGGGTTGGATTCAGCGTCCGGGTCTTTCAAACCCGTGTTGGTGAACTCTCTGGGGAATATTTACAAACACGTAAGCAACTCCCTTTCGATGATTCCCAAATCGGGTAAAAAAGGCCATAAGAAACGTCGATTGCTGGGGTTTCCGAGCTGGTTGAAACCCAAAGCTCGACGGGTTTTGCAGAGCGGCGACGAGACGAATACGATCCGAGCGAGGTGATCACTGTGGCGGCTGACGGAACGGGGAATTTCAGTACCATAAACGATGCCATAAGCTTTGCTCCGAACAATAGCGATGACAGAGTCATAATCTACGTTAAAGGAGGAGTTTATGAAGAGAATGTGGAAATCCCAAGCTACAAAACCAACATTGTTCTTCTTGGAGATGGAAATGATGCCACTTTCATTACTGGTAATAGAAGTGTGGTTGATGGGTGGACTACATTCAGATCTGCAACTCTCGGTAATCTCTCAAAAATGTTTATTATACATTCAAGGGCAAACTACGCATTTAGTATCTAAACTATCAATTTTGGTCTGTTTTAGTATATAAACTTTCAATTTTTTAAACTTAACATTAAATTTTGAATGATTGTATTAGAATGAAATAAAAATTAAATTTTAGGTATGATTTCAAAAAAAATGAAAGTTTAAATTGAAAGCGTTAGTATTAAAATGGATCAAAATTGATAATATAGATACTAAACATGTAATTTACCCTATTTTTAGGTTTTATTCAAATTAAGTAAATCTAAGTTGAATTAATTAGGGTTTTAATTTTTTATATAAATTTATATTTAAATCATTTAAGAGTCAGATCATTTGAGTTTATTCGATAAAGGTTAATTAAGACTTAAATCGAATGAAAACCTATTAAAACATAAAATACGAGATTGATCGGTTTAATCGATTTTTCAAAATCATACATAATGTTTAGTTTTTGTTTTACTTTAGTATTCGTTAAAAACTGAACATAGTTTTGAAAACAAATTGAAAGTTTAGGTACTAAAACGGTAAAAATGACCAAAACTGATAGTTTAGGTACTAAACGCGTTAAGTTTTTAACTACGGGTATTAAAAATGAAACAAATGATTTTTTTTTAAATTTATGTACTAAAACAGACTAAAACTGATAGTTTATGTACTAAACTCGTAGTTTACTCAATTATATATGATTCAAACTGTTTAAATCAAACATTGCGATTTAACTATTTGGTTCTCATTGCAGCGGTATCTGGTGAAGGATTTTTGGCTCGGGATATAACAATCGAGAACACCGCAGGCCCTGCGAAGCACCAAGCGGTTGCATTACGAGTAAACGCCGATTTCGCCGCATTATACAAATGTTCGATCAATGGTTACCAAGACACGTTATATGCTCATTCTTTCCGACAATTTTACCGCGAATGCGACATATCGGGCACCATAGATTATATATTCGGTAACGCGGTGGTAATTTTCCAAGCATGTAACATAATCACTCGAATGCCGATGGCCCGTCAGTTCACGGTGATCACGGCGCAATCTCGAGACACCCCGGATGAAAACACCGGGATTTCGATCCAAAACTGTTCGATTCTCGCCACCGACGAACTGTACGGGAATTCAAGAACTGTTAAGAGCTACCTAGGAGGCCATGGAGGATATATTCGACGACGGTTTACATTGAATCATATATTGGTGATTTTATAAGTCCTAGTGGATGGACCAAGTGGTCTAAGGATGAAGGCTTGGATACCCTTTATTATGGAGAGTATGGAAATTATGGACCGGGTTCGGAGACAGAAAACCGGGTCGATTGGACCGGTTACCACGTGATGGAAATCGAGGATGCTTATAATTTTACATTGTCGGAGTTGATTACCGGTGAAGCTTGGTTGGATTCTACTGGTTTCCCATATGATGCTGGGATTTGATGATATATATAAATTGCCTCTTTAGTCCTTCATTGTTTGATTTCTAACAATGCAATGGAAGTCTAGTTCAGCGTGGCCTACAAGGTCGTGAAGCTATTGAATGTAGTGTAGATATAAGATAAGGGAATTTTTTTCACTTCACATGTCAGATCCCACATGGATCCCGAGTCTTTTTCAAAGCTTAAGTTTGTGGTGTAGCAAGTGGGTCTTAGACAAATCAATTATCAAAGTTCCAAGTCTACGGACTGTCCATGTAGATTGTAGCCCCAAATGGACGCAACGCAACATGGTCTGTTGTTTACCTGTTGTCGTCGGCACTGCACCGCGGTTCTATTTGGCTTCAACGTTGGCCACCCGACACCCACCGTTTATTGACTCGGCCACTAGAGATACCAACAAGGCTGTTAATATAGGCTCAATAATGCTCATCCGACTGCCATCTTTACATACCTCGGAAGATTCTGATCATTCTCATTTTGCTCTAAAGAAAATTAAAATGCCATAATCGGAAAATTTGTGTTCTAAAGAATGTATTGAGGTTGCTGGATTCTTATTCTCCTTTGGTTACAAAAATCTATTACCAACCACATGTACGAACACGGAAGTTCTTTGCCCATGGATGATTCGAGGGCCAGCTAATTAGATTATTTCCATAATTGGAATGGAACCAAATATTTAGCCGACATAACCCAATTATTTAATAGGTAGGTGATTCCTTCTTGTGTTATGTGTGATTGGTGAAGGTCGACCTACCTTACCAAAATTTTCGAATTCTTACTATTTTTGTGGTCATACCCAACTTAATACGTATGCAGGGAATCGATTTCTTTACTCGATATTTTCTATTCAAATTGATTTCGAGTTACAATTTCATAAACTCGATTTCACTCGAAATTTTTTAAAATCTAAATCGAGTTGTAAAATATAACTCGAATAGTAACTTGAAATTTTTAGTAATTAGTAGATTGATTTTCAAGTCTAAGTTAAATCCCTCAACTCTGTATGTTATATATACATCACATATGAAAAAAATATAAAATGTATATGGTTGTAAAAAATCATTTAAATTGAATATATCATAATATTATAAATATTTACCATTAAGTGTAAATAGAAACTCGAAAATTCGACACAACTCGATTCGAAAAAATTTCAAATCAACTTCAAGTTATAAAATAAGACTCGTCAAGTCGAATAACTCAAACTTTTTTGATTCAATTCGACTCGATCAAACGCTCACCCTTATTATGCATTCGAAGTCAAAAGTGTGAAACCTTCCCCTGCAATGGAACTGGAACCCGAGGATGCTCATCAATATAACTTGGGGCCATCTCATTTTCTTATTAGTTCTAATGGATAATGGAAATTACTTAACAAATGATTGTTCAGAAAAAATTAAACCATTTTTTACATGATATCTCTTTTAGTTATCTATCAATATAACCTTATGAACAGCCGAACTGCGATATCGCCGAAAATTACTGAATGTTTGGATCAAGGAAAATTACTTGTATGAGCTTTGATACCTTGCTAAAGGAGATTGTCGAGCTGCGCTTCCAGTTCTAGTATGTCCAACATGTTGATGGTGAGTTTTTCCTCTGAAGAATACTCTGATTTTAGGAGTGATTGAACTTGGATATGGGCTTCAACAATATTTATCCTGGATAAACATAACAATTTTCTTAATTTGATGTTCGATAAGCCTGCTAAAGAATCCAAATATTCGAAACTCACTTCGATATTAGATAACTACTCGGGGTGGTATCCAAAATTACTTAATAAATTTGGGATGGCATCTTACTTGATTGGTTTGAAAAGAATTGTCCGTGTTGATGGGTTCTGTAAATAAAGCTTCATCTTTGCTAGCACCTGTGGAAGTTCTTGCTGAATGGCTGAATTTACCTGTTCGAGAGATGAAATCCATCAGTCGGTGAATCGAAACTCAAAGTATAAACAGAGTTGCCACTAAAAGAAATGGCAAATCTTCAAAAAACCAACACAAACGGTAGCCTCTCCAAAATAGGCCAGCAAAACATGAATTGAAGATTCGACACACCTTCTGCACAAGTTCAGCCACTTTTTCCGGAGTAGCAAAGGCTTGTTCCTTGAGTGGCTTGGCCATAACGTAGTCTAGTTTTTGATTCCGAGTACCAGTAGATAATGCAACTTTTACGGCAGTTACCTATTGTAGACATTGCCAACAGTCAGGAATTTTATTTCACTTAAAAGTTTAATTTATTTCAATTAGGAGTCTACAGTCTACTCTTTTAAGATTCTAATATCCTGAAGTAATGAAAAGACCAACCAAAGAAAAAAAGAAAAAAACATACCTTGGTAACAAATGAAAGCATAGGATCCACAACTTGCTTAGTGACCGCCATAATAAACTCCTCGCAAGTTGCTTTTAAACTTTTCTCCAACTCCTGAAAGTAAGCGGAAAAAAATGCGTCACACTATTGATGGCCAAGCAAATTCCCAGCATCAATCATAAAAGGGGGGGGGGGGAAAGAAGGGAGGGGGCATTGGAGTTAGTGTGGTAATTGCAGGAGAAACATAAATAGTTGAAGATTGAAGATTATTTTCAACATGCACCAAAAACGCATGCCACTTTGACTCGTTGAGAACTATCAATAAATTAATCGAAAGGTAAATTGTTAACCTTCTTCGCATCTACTTGACTTTCCAAAATACGGGGAGATAAGGTCCTGGCTAATGATGTTGATCCGGTCCAGTCAAATAATGATGCCTGGCCTCCAAGTATCCGTCTCAAGTGTTCCTATCAAAGGCATTTTAAAGCAGCCAAGTAAAAGAAAGGTAAAATATGAATGAAAAAAAAGGGTTGAACGTTGTTCGTCTTCCCAGTATCTGCTGAAACTCAAAAAGTGCTTCAGCTTCTAAATTTAGGCTCGGAAAACTTACCAGCACATGAGAGAAATCAAGTTCTTTGTGTGTAACGGAAAACTCTATGTCAAATGGTGCTATCTGCAAGGCAAAAACTCATCCCGTTCATTAACAATTGAAGAACCTAATAAAAAGAGAGCAAAAGAGAGGAATAATGAAGGTAACCTGTTCTCTTAATATCAGAAGATGCTTTATAAGGAAGAGCTGTCCATCCATTGGTGTTGATCTCTTTGAAATTAGTTTGCTTGCTTTCTAGGTAAAATTTAAAGATTAAAGAGGGACAAATGCCAATGGTTAGATATCCAAGCAAGCCCACTGTTTATTTTAGAACACGCTAAACAGTGAATATGCCTGCCAACATGCTTATCCACGTGAAGAAATTGCATCATTCTACAGCATTAAAATGAAAATAACTTTAGGCCTGGTATTCAGCTAACTTACTTGGATAGAGTCGGAACAAAATTCTACAGCTTCCTGAGAAAAACAGCACAAATTAATTATTTAACAGAATACACAAAGGGCAATGTTTAGATAAGAAACTGAACAAGGGTGATTATTCAAAAGCACCTGAGCCAAGCCAGTGAAGACTTCCGGTTCCAAACACTGATACAATTTTGAAAGAATAGATATTGTTTTCTCTAATGGTGGATACCAAGTTTTGAATACAAATGGATTTGCATCAACCTGTGCAAGAAAAAGAAAAGCATTATCACAGATGGAAGTGTTAATTTCATGTAATTGTATTTCCAAAAGGGGAAAACATTAAGTAAAATTCAAGCAGACATGAGTGCTGTCCTACTAATCTGGCTAACATCAATCTCCAGATGTCAAAGCTGCAGACATTGCATACCACTTAGACTTTGCTTGGTATGAAGGATAGATATGAGGAAGGATGGAAAATTTGTTAATCAAATGGCTAAGATTCAAAGCAAGAAAGTGGTTATGAATCTTAACCATTTGATTAACAAATTTTCCATCCTTCCTCATTTCTATCCCTCGTACCAAGCAAAGGCTAAGTGCTTCCACTTGCAAGTCTGCAAGTAGATTTTAGACTTGCATGTTTGCTAACCAACTGAAACAACCGCACACAGGGCTAGTACAACAGGATGACGAATTTGTTCCCATTCATATACAAATTTTTCCATTTCATATTACAATTATTTCTATGTAGGGAAAAAACTCATGCCAGAGATGTCACATCCACATATTGCACATGCTTCATTCATTAAAGGAATGGAAACAATGGAGTTGCAACTCAATGTATTATTGTTAGCGTGTTGGGTAATGTAATAACAAAGTCTAAACAGACACACAAACATATAGCTAAACACTTATGTCCGGGCAGAAAAGGGAGGGAACAAATAAACGCAAATTGTAGGAAGTTCTAAAATAATGGTTACAAAGAGCATAGATACAAGGGCCTGAACCAGAAAGAGCAACCTTGACTAGCAGGAAAAATTGGCTTGCAAATTTGAAAATTGTCCAGAAAATGAAGATTTAAAGACACATCATTATCTACAAGCCGGGGATAAGGGAAAGTGTTAGTGAACTTACAGAAGAAGTTTCTGTCTTCACATCTTCAGACTGCTGCAGTTTTGCAGGGTAATCTAAATCTTCATCAAATGGGATATAATTTGCAATCTGTGTAAGAAAGAAGACAATGATTCAACTAAAAGAACAAATATGGGATGAAAATAAATTTCGTGTTGCGATGTGTGGCATTCCCAGCCATGCACACTCCAAATAAAAAGCACAACATAATTGTTCCTAACATCGTAAGCATAGAATGTAACTGTTAGCAAGTTTCGCTTCAATCTCAAGTTATGGACAACTAAAACAATTGTGCTTTCAATAACGCAGAAGGAAGTCACTGACAATCATTTGATTTCTAGTACTATCTATCAGACAAACAAACCAAGACTTCATTTCCAATCAACTACTGCAAATATCAAGTAGCCAAAAAATAATCCTATTCCTCAATAAGGTAAAGTGCTGGTAGCTTACATTGATTTATGAGATGTACACAAAGAGATATATGGATAAATAAGCAATAAACAGACCTCGTCACGGATGTGTGTTCGAGCACGAAAAGTCAAGCGTTCGTGAATGTCTGCCAAAATTCTTTCTAATGTAAGACGTAGCCCAGCCAATGACTCACTTTTTCGGCTAAGCTGTTCTCCCAATACTTCAGTTTTGAGGATATCAACCAGCTCACAAAGAAAATCAACATTTGTTTCATGAATGAGTTTTGGACGTAATGTATCATATAAGAATGTAGACCTGCAATCCAATATGACTTAGTAAGACATTAAGCCATGTAATAAGGAAACAAAATGAATACGGTGAAAGAGAAAAGAAAGCTCTACAATATAGGCAAGAAGGGAACTTACAAAGGATCTATTAATGGTGCCAAACTTGAAACATCCTCTGAAGAAGAAGGGAAAAAATGATCAAAGAGTTGGTGCTCTAGTTTACAGACCTGCGGCCATGACAACATGTAGACCCCAGTTAATATAAAGTAGTACTGTCTTCAATTTACAAACACCAGTGTAAGAAACTTGAAGTTTCAGGCTAGATATTGTATCTGATGCACCAAACATATAAAATGTGCAGAGAGTGTATGCCCTAAGTAACAAGTTTTGCTTCAGCCGATCAGAAGTTCCAAGAATCATAGTCATATACAGGAACTAAACATAAGGACAGTTAGTTGACCATACCTGCATTAGGTAAGCACATCCTGATCTAGTCAACGATGGCAAACCCTCTTTCTTGGAAAATTCAGATATTCGCAGATGCACTATGCCTTTTATCTAAAAAAGCATATATTAACGGAAACATTAAGAATTGGTTCAAATACTACATTAAGTGGTGTATGCGAGTGGTAGTGATAAATCATCCACTCACCAAAGAAAGCCTCTGTTCACAGTACAATTTATGGCATTCAGCAAGAACATGAACATATTCTTTCCTTGATGCTCTGCTTTCAATTTCTTCTAATACCGACTTAAGCTGCAAATGCAAACTGTTAGTGATCTCTTCTGAAGGAGAGTCATATTTCTATACATGTGACAGCTTTCAGACCAGAAAAGGAAACCATTACCTCACTAGCAGCTGCCTTGAAACGGATATAAATTACAGATGCCTCAACACCCTCAGAAAGAGATGCTTTGTTGCCACCACTGCTCCGAATTGCTGCCTGAACCTGATGATGGAAAGAACAATCATTTTGGAAGCATTAATCCATTAATCCATCTATAAAAGCATATCCATGTATGTAAATTTGACCTAGAGATGGATATTTTACCTGAGAAGAAGCACTTCTCATAACAGAAAGCACATGAGAGCGGATCATACCCAGGGCCCGGGACTGTAAAAACAGGTTTCCATATATTTTAGTAGATCATCTATTTATATGCATACATTTCATTTGATAAAAACAATCCATAGATCGCCACAATAACTCCTTACCAGCAGTTGACGGAATTTTAGCAAATAAACACTAGATTCTGCATATTGCGGATTACTTTCAACATACCTACAACGAAAAAAATTTCAATAATAAATTTTGATAACAATTACTTAACAAAGGGACAATTATTAAGCAATTGTTGACTAGTTTGCAAAGCTGGACTAAGTACAAATGTAACTTACGATATGCACTCGTCCAGCCGTTTAAGAAGTGGGAAAAAGTTTTCATTTCCAACATTCATGTTTGGAGAATAAAAGTTTGAAGTAATCTGCACACAAGAGGTAAAATTAGACAAACCATGAATTTCAGAACTATTGCACTAACAGAAATTCATCAAGACCCCTATATATATTGACATAAATCCTAAAGGATAAAGGGTGTAAACCAGGACAAATAAGCAATATATAAACTGAAAGTAAACTGATCTCTGGTTAAGATAGCATTCAAACCTTACATTCTCCAACTCATCAAAATACTTGAGCTTACTGCGAAGTGCTTCAGCAAACCCAATCAGCTTTTGCTTCTCCAGGACCTGCAATAAGAATAAGATGGTGATGCAATCAATTGACCTTAGTTTTAGAAGGTGCACCGAGGAAGAAAGGGTCCCTGGAGCCTTTCATAGGCGAGACGCACTTTTATACTAAAAACCCTATAAATTAATTACATAAGATATTTTGTACTCAAAACGATATGATAATCATAAAGCACAGCGCCTGCGCCCTCTTGGAAAAGTGTGAAATGCGCCGGAAGCACGCGCCCGCCGTTCACCGCCCCGCTGCGCCCGGCGCGCAACTTTTAAAACTAAACAGTTGACTAATTTAAACCAAAATTTTCCATCTCACAGACAAGTGAATTACAGCTATTGAACATAAAGCCGAAAGTGAAGCTAGAAACAAGAAGATAAAACTAGATTCCAAACCATGCAAACAAAAATCATACCAGTCGATCACATGCATCATGAAGTGTTTTAGTTTTTGTTGCTACTGCTTGGTGTTGCAGCTGTAGTTCATTAAAAAGGTCTAAGGTCTCATCCACCTGAACAAAAGTGTACTCTTAGCTTAGAAATCACAAGGAAAAGATAGATCTAACTTAATAAATAGCCAGCAAAGCATATGAGAGAATATACAGAGATATAAAATAATAAAACAGAACATGGACGTACTTGTTGAAGTATACCATCACAAGTCTGTTTGCGGTCTGTTAGAGTATTAACATAGTGCTGATACTTCTCTTCGGTCTAAAGTAAGAGAATCAATAAGAAGAAGTAAACAAATATTCAACAAAATTACTCCATGAACAAATATTTTGCAACAAGATATCGCTACTAACCTCCGACCTCATGGCCGATTCAAGATCTGTGAACCATTTATAAAACTGCACAGGAAAAGGAGACGAAGCAAAACCTTTAGATCCAAATGCGTCAATTTCATTAAAACTTAGCAGAATTAGATTATTAGAAGAAAAAACAATGTAACCATCCACGTAAGATTAGATGTACAATTCACAAAGATATATAACAAATTTTATTTACCTGATTTGTATTGACCAAAATTGCTTCAATAGCTCCAGAATCAACGAAATCGTTAGCCTTTGTAGAAACAGACAAGCCGGTATCTTGCCCATAGGTTCTCTCTTGAGCCTACATCAGCATAATCCATACATCTTTCACCAAAACATTCATAATGCAATTAAAAGAAGAAGAAAAAAAGTAACCGAGAAGCAACATAATTCCTCACCAAATTGGCCGGAAACGGCCGTTCGGCAACAGCATGAGATAGCATTAGGATAGTTCCTTGCTGCTGCTCCGTCAAAGGCGCATTCTAAACACAAATCCAAAATAAATAAATCAAATTGAAGAAGAAACCAAATCTAAAACAACGCATTCAGTTCCACACCACAGATCCGATCCTAAAACTAAAAAGTGTTCGAGTCTTCCGATAATTATCAACAGTACAATCGCATTTTACTTTAAAAAATAATGTGATAACATTTACGTTACAATAACGGCCCCGGTTAAGAGATCGGATCTTTTAATTGCTAGATTTAAAGATTAAAAAAATTAAAATCAAATTTTCAAATTAGTTATAAGCTGAAAGTTTTTTTTAAGTTCATAGAGATAAAATCAAAGCAGATCTGAGTAGAAGAGGCTAAAATCGTGAAGTTTGAAAGCAGACACTGTTGAGTTCTGAAGAGTAAGTTCAAGAGGAAACGAGGGAGTAAGATTACCTGTTCCCATGTAGAAGCGAAGTTGTAGCCTTTGGAAATGGCTCCAGATTTGGGGAGATTCGGAGGTGTAGCTGCTGTATTCGTTGCCATTTTGTTTGTTTTCTTAGTTTTGTAGAGAGTCTGGTTCTACTGGACCAGACGGACCTTAGCTACCTGATTTTGTTCATCAGACGATGCTGGTAATTGAATCTAACGCCATATTTTAAAGCCGGTTGTTTGTTTGACGTGGTGTGAAGGCTTAAAACCGATGACCTTTCAAGTACTGTTTTCAATTCAACGACGCCGTATCCTATTCTAAACCGTTAGTTGTATTATTACTTTAGGAGTTAATAGCATCATATGTCCCCAATCTATGGCCCTCATTTCAAATTAGTCCCTTAACTTTTAAACATTTCAATTTCATCCTTAAACGATGACTATTATTCTAAATTAGTCCTCAAACTTTTAAACATTTCATTTTCATCCCTAAGTTATGATATTCATCCTAAATTGATCCCCAAACTTTTTAAATATTTCATTTTTATACTAAATTATTTGTATATACTAATCACATCTCTACTTAATGAAATCATTAGGCAAGTTATATTATTATATGTTTGGAAAAAAATTAGGTTAAACTATGGTTGAAATGGATTATATATTTGGATGAATTTGGGGATGAAATTGAAAGATTTAAAAGTTTAGGGACCAATTTATAATGAGATTTATAGTTTGGGGATAAAATTTAAATGTTCAAAAGTTTAAGGACTAATTTAGAATGAGAGTCATAGTTTAAGGATGGAATTGAAATATTTAAAATTTTAAGGACTAATTTGAAATGAGAGTCATGGTTTAGGGACATGATGAAATTAACTCTTACTTTAATTTATTTAAAATAAAAGGGTAAAGAACATAAATGATCTCTCGACTATAGGATAATATCTTATTAAGTTCATCGACTATTAAAAGTTATAAAATAGTACTCCAACTATAGAATATTGCCTTGTTGAATCACTTGACTATTAAAAATTACAAAATGTCACTTGACTATTCATTATGTTCCAGACTCATCATTTTCCGTTAAAAATTTGACAGTATTCTGAGTTGCACGTTAACATGTTAATTGTGATAGGATACAATATGATCCTAGAATTTTAAACGACTATCATATCTCAGTCATCATATTAGCATCCAACTTAGACAACCGCCATTTTTTTTACGAAAAATGACGAGTTTGGAACATAATAAATAGTCGGATGACCATTTTATAACTTTTAATAGTCGATGGACTTAATAAAATAATATCATATAGCTGAGGGACCATTTGTGTACACTGTCCAATAAAAGATTATTAATACAAATATAACATTTGATATATTTTTATTGAACGTCGAACGAAAATAATATTTCAAATATTAAATTAAAAATATATATATTATTTTCATAAATACTTTACATTGTTTCATCGCACAAATCTACTTTATTCATTAGTAATTTTTTATTTGATATTATAAGTAATATTTATAAAATTGTATTATTAAATAAATTAATCTCAATTATATCTTAACATATATACTATTTTAGTTAAAATCATGATAAGATTCTAAGTTAAATAAATTCATCCTTTTCAATTATTTTTATAAAAATATCAATTTTAATAAGCTAACTGATACTCGAGCTTATAAACAAGCTTTTTTTAAAAATAATTTAAGATAATTATAAGGTAATATATGTATAGAATACTGTTCTACCCTATAACCATCTCAATATATATTAAACTAAACTAACCAGTAGGGTACAAAGGAGGTATATAGAATAAATACATTTACAAATCAATGCAATGAAATTCATATACACAAATGAATGATGACAAGTCTTTTTCATGTTTCCTCTTTATAACGAACAATTAGCAGATGCATATATAGATGATTATACAAATGTCGCAGCCATTCAAAATTACAATCGGAAGGAAGGGGATAAACAGGCAAAAATATTTTTTTAGAGAAAAGAAGAAATAGAGAGAGAATGGGGATCGAGCTTACATGTCGAGGCGACAAGGCAGAAGCTCTGTTACCTGAAATCTTCATTTTTTTAGTAAAATATTCAAGCTTGATAACAGTTTTAGACATACTCGAACGCGAATACGATGTATGGTACTCCAAATATATGCAAATAACTCGAAAATGGATATACCCATGTTCGGCGTTCATCACGAGTCCAGGTATCAGAGAATAGGTTTACATTATCAATCAACGCACAGAGCTACTTACCACCCTGTGTATTTTCTTCACAAAGATCAGTCTGTGATCCACTAGGAACGATTGTCGAAGGAGACGACCACTGATCTGGCACCATGAGAAAATAAGCAGTCATTGCTTTTCGGAACCGTTTCTTGTACTGTTGGGGCGAGATCACAGTCGGAGGTGCGTTTCTAGTTCCGCCAAGTATGCCCGAGGTCTTCACCCAAGTTTCAAGGTGCTTGTCCCATGTGTATTGTCTCATGAAATCAATTATTCCGAGAACAAGCTCATGTTTTTCCTCATCCACACCAACCAGTAATGAATAATCCATTACATCAATCAACTGTGCCAAAAAAAGCATATATAATTATTAGAAAAAATACTAGCATTCAACTCTGACCAATTGATCGGAAAACATTACTGTGACCATCGGATCAATTCAATTAGCTCATATGCATGCCATGGCAAAGATATCAGAGCGAACGTCACCATTAATTGAATGTTGAAAATATAATGATGGTGAGAACAACCCTGTCCTATATTACCCACAATTGTTCCTCTCAGGTCAGTATGATAATTACCAAAGTTTACCCTATAATAAGTGAAGTAAGCACCGTGGGATCAAAATGAGAAGTTGAAGTAACTTACAGCAAGAAAGGAAGTGTCATTCCAGACAGCTCTCTCCAACAACCGTTTTGCCTTGCTTCCAACAAATATCGGAGATGTCGGCATGGCTTCAATCAAATTTTGATCCAGAAGGACTTTGTTGGTACCAGTTGTATCAGGGTTATACCTTGATCGAGAGGATCCTTTAAGGTCGTAAAGCCTTGTAATATTACGTCTGAAGAGAAGATTTTCCATCACTAAAACGTCCATTTTTGACTCCTTCCCTCCTTTAAGGTGCCTCGCTGAAACCTTCAAGACAATGATGCCGGAAGAAATGTTAAACAAAAATAATGGTAAATTTAGCACAAAATAAGAAAATCCCAATTTAGATCTGGAACTTGGATTCAGTTAAAACAACATATGAATCACAGGAAAATTGAAAAGCTTCTCAGTGATGCGTACTTAGGCAGCTAAATTCTCAGGCTTCTAACATCAGAACATCAAGTGTTAAACACCACAATCTAAACAAATGTCGAAGTTCATGTTTAAATTAGTAAGGAGATGCACACAAACAAACAAAATCTCTAAGACATCACATTTAAAATGTGCTTCTCGCAGTAAATGAAGAGGAAAGCATAATTGACAAGACAGGAAAAAAATAGATAACGAACGTTTTGGGCTACTAAAACAATTTTTCTCCTGAACTTATTAGCCAAAACATCACCCATGAATTCCAACTTCGTTTCAGAGAGGTTAACAATTTAAGCTATATAGCTATAAGTGATACTAATAAATAATACCTGATATATGCCCAAAATCTTTGCCAGGCAAGTTGGGCTCCTAGTATTGATTGAATCGGATAAATACTTGAAATAAGCTGGTCCAAACATGATGAATGACTCTAGCTCTGTCTTTGTAACTTGTTTGATTATAAACCGATCATCTAAAGTTTTTGCAAAGAAAACATTGCTCTTGCCACCTTGAGCACCCCACTTCTTACAACGACTGAGAGAACGTACAAAATCCATCTCAGAAGGGCAACAGGTCCTCCTCAAGCTCTCAAACCGCTTTGCATAGTAACAAGTTACAGAATACTTCACCTTCCCAAGGGGGCCATCATCTGTAAAAGAAACTTTGGCATGGAAAGCCTGTGTGTATGAGATGGGGTCGGAAACCAGGGAGCTAAATGACCCAGACAAAGATAAGATACTATCATCACCAGATCCAAGTGATCCATTTGAAGAATTAATTGAGAGTGCATTCATTGAATCAAAAAGTGACGACGAAACTGCAGACTCTGAAGCATCTTTTGGTCTCTCCAACTCAGACATCTGTGAGTGGTAATCTGATGACACAAGTGCATATGATATAATGCTAGTCGGCTCATCATCATAAACAGGCACTACTGTGTCATTAATACCAATAGGAAGCAGAAGCCTGGCACCACTTTGCCTCTCCAACTCCCTAAACGATAAGACATAGACTGGATTATACTCACCGATATTGAGTTTTTGAGCATTGAATAAAGATTTCTTGTTAAATGAGTAGTAGACATTTGGAAATTGCATGTTTGCCCGGCTCATAGACTTCTCCATAGTTTCAAGCCCCGTTGTAGGCAAAGCAGACTGAGAAGAATGAGCCACTTCTAATTCATTAGGATCACTAGCACAAAATCCCAGATCTGAATCTACTGCAGCTGACACATCTGTCAAGACTGAACCAGGAACAGAGTAACCATTCTCCTTGGGAACTACACCAGCTGGGTGATTTTCGCCGGTCCATGCGATCTCAAGGGTATCAGATAAATTTTCCATGATCGGAAATTCCCCTTCCAACAGGACCTTCTGTACAACTTTTCCAGATTCTAGAGAACTGGTTGCACTAGAAGTAAGAGAAAGTTCAGCCTCCTTAATTTTATGGTACTCTTGGTCCATAGGCTTTTCGTTGTGATCTCCGCCGCGCTTGCTAATTTCATCAGTATTGCCTCCATGATTTATGTCCATAGCAGGCTTGGTCTCGACTACAGCAGAGTCGCAACTTCTAAAGGTTTTACTTGCCTCAGGAGCGACATTCATCTCAACACGCTTCTCCAAAGAACTTACAGGCTTCAGTCCAAGATTTGGGATTGAACTGCTCATAAGTTCCTGGACATTATTGTTGATTGAACTATATACATGTATCAACCGTTGGTCCCAAACAAAAGAAAGAAAGAGTATTTGCCTCCGCAACTTATTAATCTCAAGAATGTCAATCACAGGTTGGCCAACGTTTACCTCCTTACGGATCACTTCCTGCCAAGATTCCTAAACGGATAAGAAACCAGACAGTAAAGATCAGGCTGATTTTATGGAAAAGAGAAACAAACTAACATTCAGACAGCAACGCATAAGTGACAGAGCAGGGTGAAGATGGTGAATTTCAAACCAACTACCTGAAACTCTTGTCTATCCTTTTGCAGCATCGCTTCCAGTTCTTCGACACAGATTTTTCTTTCAGTAAACTTTATACCACTATCTTTGAACTGTGAACCTAATAATTTCTCTGAAATCTTTTGAATTGCATTGTACACTTCACTAAATAGGAATTCTGCCCTGTTACTCACCTGCAAAACCATATAAACCAACTTGTATGTGTTTTGTGATTCAAGAATAGCTTTATGAACAGGAACAAGGATTTATGATAATCAAACCTCAATTGCTTCACTTTGCATCCACTCCTGATTATCACAATTAAATTCCAGTTTGGAAGGTGGAAGATAAACAGAATGAACATCAATGGAAGCATATCGAAAACAAGCAACCATTCTCCCGAAACTGCAAACAATAAAACAGTATAATAAGATGATACCACAGGAAACTGATTATTTTAATCATTTCTAGTGTTCTGATTTTTACAATCTGTACCATTAATTTTCCCTACCCTACCCTTCCTTTCCCATCCCCCCATGGAAAATAAACCTCATCATTCAGAAGGTAATAAATGGACTGGAGAGTCAATCCTAGGGCTTCAAGGTGATTAAGTACTTTATCTTGGGGGCAAAAACCGCTTGGCAAGTTTAGGCAGTCCTTAAACGTGGAGTCCTCGTACATATGTATCAATAGATATATGCCCTTATTCTCAATTACATAATGATATCATTTTCCTTATAACTCTTTTAGGCCAATAAACTATACAGTGTAAGAATAGCGACAAGGAAACTTGAGAACTAATGAAGGCATATCACGTAACCAGGCTACCTGTATCAATCCTCCGAGTAAGAATAATGAATTTCAAAAGCCAACTTAAACCATCAATGTCTCAAAATTCCCTAACTGAGCAGAATTGCTCAATTCTAAAGTCAAATGGAATATTTTTTTGTTGGAAATAAGTCCAATTAGTTTCATTTCAGTAAAAACAAAATACATCACTAGTTAGTATAGATATTAACAAAGTTTATAACTACAGGGTTAATCTAGATAGTAACAAAGTGAGTCTAGTTAATCCTATATGAGAATCAATATGTTACCAAATATTACTAAAACGACACATATGACTAACATTCAGTGAATAGTTCACAGAGAAAGCAAATGGATTGCTAATAGATTAAACAGAAATCAGATAAATGGAATAAAAAAGACCAATCTTCCACAAGTGCCATTTTCACAGGTGATCATTAAAACCAGTAATCATTATTCTCTAATATTCGTTATACTCATGTTAATTAAGTAAAAACTTACCCGTAGAATCGAAGGCAATCCCTATGAAGGGAATGACCACAGCTAGCAACTCTGCTAGCAGCTGCATGGTTCGAAAAACTCAGCTCCAAGAATTTCCCAAAGGATAAACCCCAGGCAGCATCAGACATTACAACTCTTCGAGTGGCTGGGGGGAATCCCTTGACCAGAGGGCACCGCAAGCATCTATGCCACATCCAAATCTTGCCTTCCCGTTCTCCTGGTAAGGGAGGATCTTGTAGTTTCTTAACAGATATTGTCAGGCTACCTTGCCTATGAGTATAACAATGAACATGTGCCTCGGATGGCATCTCACACGAATGACAATTGGAGTTCTGATAAGAAGAATCATAAGTTTTACTAATAGGACGCAAAGAGGAGGATAGGATTTCTACATGAAATAACAATTACCTGATCAAACAGATTATCTCGTAAAAACCGCCCTAAAGGCTTATCAAAGCTACCATAGTATTTGATTCGAAAGAGATGAGAACGCTCACAAACAGTTCCCTTCCACACACAACGTGTTGATAAGGATACCAAAATGCTCTGGTGGTCTGAAGGCGATGGAGGAAACTCTTCCTTTGAGGATGCCACCTCTTCATTACCGTTAATAGCCTCTGGTTTTGAGGAGGCCAATTCTGGGCCACCAACATTACTTGCAGACAACATATTGCCATCAGCAAGATAATTGCCACCACCTTGCTCAGGTGCTTCTGATAGCGTTTGACAAAAAGAAACAAACTGGTCACCCATTACAGCTTCTCCACAGCTAGCTGGTGTTTGAACAGATCCTTTAAGATACACTCCACCGACCTTGCTAAATGCATGATTTAGGGAGGGAAGATGGTTATAAGATATATCCTCCCTTGAATCAGACAGTGAATCACTAATCCCAACAGAGTCCGAGGGAGATTCCTTGGATGTAATTTGAGTGTGAGTACCTTCTGACAAACAAGATGAACTGAACGCAGAATATTTGCAAGGGAGTTCAATGTTGGCAGATGATGGTCTAACAGAGATAGCTTTGTTGGATTTCTGTAATTCATCTATAGGTTGAGAAACAATGGGTTTCCCAGATGATGAGATGGTAAAACCAGGTACGATGGAAATAGACCTGTCAATACTTGATGGTTTATTAGGTAAGGCAACATTTATAGGAGATTTTAAAGGGAGCTCCGGAAGTGTAGCACCTTCATCAGCTAGAAATGATGTCTCAAGAGCCAAGTGATAAGCTGCAAAGACACCATATTGGACCACATGTTTCACCTTTTTCAACTCATCTCCACTGGCTCCCTTGAGTAAAATCTGAAACAAATTAAGCGTAGGACCATCTTAGTGTCGCCATTTTTATCTAGGAAAAACATTTTACAATGGTTATCAAGTCTGTTTTGTGGGTATGGGTATATTAGTGGCACGACATGACCTGACAGAGATTTATGCAGTCGTAAATCTACCCATCTTACCATCCTAACAATTAGTAATCAACCTGAATGCAGCATAATTTCTGCTACAATATATTTTAAATTCAATCTAGAAATCATACATGACAAAGAGCATATCAGTGGGCTGTTGCTACAACATGATGCTCTAGTTGATGTAATTTAGAATATCTGAATAATGAAAAGTATGTTACGGTGGGAGATTTATGGAGAAATGCCAGATGGTTTCTTTCTGTTTTTACTGTTTCTCTAGTTTCTTTTCAGGTGTTTATGTTGTTGATGATGCGATGTCTTTAGTCTATATCATGCATCTTACATTACCATGAAAAATATAAATGAGGTAAAATAAAACCAAAATAAAACAAATAAATAATAATGATTCTTTCCATTCAAAAATTTTTATAACTAGGGAATGGATGTGTATGTGTATACTGAAAGGACTTACGGTGTAACCCAGAGGCTTAGGGCAACCCTCAAAAAACATTAGAGTCTTTGTCAATTTCTTCCCTCCTTGCCCAGCGCTTCCATGCTCCTCAAGAAATTTCTCCACGTGGAACACATCACAACAACCCAGCTTTGGTGATGTTAGATGATCAATGGAGGGAACTATTTGAGCACCAGTGCAGCGGGCTATACGCTCTAAGAGTGGCCTCTTAATATTAAGAACAAGTGATATGTCTTTGGCAAGAAGGTACTCTTGAGCGTACCGGGACACGGATTTCTCCACCAAAAGAACTTTAGGATGATGCACATCAATTTTAGCAACTGCCATCTTAAGATGGTCCATTTCCTGAAAGAAGAGGATAAGGTCGTAAAAACAAAACTTAGCCCTAACAGCCTCATGTACTACAAGGTGGGAACCAAAATAATGTTTCATGGTTTAACCTTCTTCGGAACCCAGAGTTAATAAACAATAAAAATAGATGGGAACAATTAAAAATACAAACCTGCTGCAACAATGTATCAAAACTTGACAAGTGGTTAGAAATGCGCTGATATTCCAAAGCTCCTCCAAGGACTAGAAAACGAGGTTTATCTATTTTTGATGTCATTCGACGATGAGCCACATTTTTCTTACAAACAACTCCCTTAACCACAGCACTAGAAAAGAAAAGGGATTAAAAAAGAATCATATGTCCATCAGCATAATTAGACAGTAGATGGAATACATAAAGTATAAAGCCTTCTTTTGATAACACATTTACATTGATCATTAATTGAATTTTTTTCCATTAAGACCAGTATATAGTACAACTACCACACAAAAGAAGTCAACAATCTCTCACGATTATTCTCTCTTTTGCCCCCAAATGAACACTAAAAACCACTACAAAAGCATTCTCTTTGAATGTTCAGATACAAATATGAAGGAAATTCACAAACAGTAGTTGATCAGGATGGGATGTATTTGCAGAAAGAACTTTAGGCATGCACTCATGCACAACAAATTCAAAGAATTGCAACCAGTTCGATAGTAACCGTCAACAAAATGAGAAAAGAATGAACCATAATTGGTATATTGGGCAATATAACAACTAAATATTTGTCAAGACCTGATAATTGTATGCTCATGCCATGATATACAGTTAACTGTCTTGAAATCAACAATAGAATTGATTGCTAGCAACAAAACTTATTTGTATGATTGATCTGTTAGCTGCCACATGCTAAGAATTATGAACTATTCTAAAGCTGCTCAATAAAAACAAGTGAAGTTGAATTCTTCATGCGTAACATTGAAAAATAAATAAATGATGTTGGTGTTACCTTTGCATAACTGTATTGAAATCAATAATATAGTTGATTACTAAAACAAAATCGTCTGTATGATTGTTCTGTTAGCTGTCACACACTAAGAGATGTGAACTATTCTAATGACGCTCAATAAAACAAGTGAAGTTGCATTCTTTACATAAAACATTAACAATTTTTTAATGAGTTCAGTGATATTACCTTTCACTGCGATGCCCAGAAGCTATGCATTTAACTTTCACATATCCTCCAGGATCCATTCCACCTCCTTTGCTTGTATCTGGCTTCAGAAGTGTTGCAGCTTCCCATGACAAAGAAACTATTATATCCAGCCAACTTTCAGCGCCATTCTCATTATCCACAGAGACGTTTTCAACCTGCAAAAGCTGAGCTACCAAAGCTCGAAAATGCCCTTCCACCACATTTTTCATGGCCTGCCGGTGCTCCTCAACGAACTTATCCCTACTCCGGTACTCCCTGCTGCCAAAGCTATTTGAAGAGCGTAAATATCCCCACTCCCCTGCAGCACCCTCATCATCGTCATCATCATAAAATATAGCAGCTTCTCTTTCATCCTCCTCATCCTCAGGTTCAGGAGGGAGCCACAGTAGCATATTGTTCTCAAAATCCACAGGCTTGGAATCTGTACCATCCACTTCATAAGCAGGAGCTTCACCTTGTACGGCATTCTCTTGCCCATTTACTTCTTCAAATTTCTTAATTTCATCCACGCTTTGTTTATTGGAAATCTCAGTTAATGGTGAATCATCAAGAGATTTTGCATCAAGGTTCTCCCCATCAGAATGAACTTTAACTGATCCATAAGCACGATTGACTTCATCAATATTGATTGCACCATAATAATCCTCAGAATGAGAATATTTCCTTGATTCTGAATCCGAACGATATGCAGCATATTCATCATCTTCATCATCACTCCTGGACACACACAACAGTTAAAAAAGTATGAAGTTTTGATCAAGAGCTGAAAATACTAAATAAAACGCACAAGAACTTGAGATTATGTATTCAGTCAAGGCAGGCTGAGTGATTTGAATTTGAAGAAAAATTGACAAGGTAACACAAGGTAAAAAACACTTTGTTCTCAATCAAAAATACATCAGCAAGAACGAAGGTACCTGTTAACACAAAAGCCAATATGGTTTGATGAAGAATCTACTGTGGTGGAACTTGGATTTGTGCTCGACCCAAATGTCTCATTGTTTTCTTCAGTGGCTCCATTCATCTGAGCAGATCCACAAGGGCTAAGAACAGAATTATAATTCACACGGTGGTAAGGTCCAGTTGAATACAGAGTAGAACCAACGGTGCTGCTACTACTAATACCAGTGCAGCTGGACTTGGTACTGGCCAAGCTTGTTGCAGATGGTGATGGACTAAGACCAGGACTAGGTGCTTTAGTCCCATTCTCAATAGTTGCTATACCCTGTTCCCATTGCTTGAAGCAATAATTGCATACCCTAATCCTTTCCCAATCTTCCCGAACATCTCTTGGCTCATCAGATGGAGCAGGAACTGAGTTCGCTGTACACTTGGCACAAAAAACTCGGCCACAAAGTCGACAATGATGCCTACGATTAAATACTGTAAACTGGGAATCACACTCGTAGCATACCCTACAACTCTGATCGGGCATCCAAAAGTCTCTCGACACATTCGGTGGCTCACTCTTCCTAGGGATCCACCACGACTTAACTATATCAACCAGATCAGATAATTTGTTGTCTGGAGTGCCCATTGACAACTATCCCACCTGATCCCAGTCATCATAATTCATTCATTTGCCACTAAAACAACCACAACCACAGAAATTCACTACACCCTGTACCCTGCCCATATGTAACCACAACAAATTATCAGAGTAGGTTACAACAAAAACCACTACTCTAAAAGCTTATGAATCTAAACTGAAAGAAATTCTATTAACTGATAGTGGAGGGAAAATATATATTGGAATTGACTTTACTGATTAAAACAAAATTAAACAGCTTGAGCGATTAATTTATAATTACACGAAAAGCATAAGATTAACTATACATTTCCAAAAGAAAATTAAGATTACCTGGAATATAACACCTCAAATCCTAATATCCGAAGGCCCTAAATTCCAATATCTTCTTCTTCTTCTCTACCTGCACCAGTAGCTTCTCTTCCCTGCTCGATCCAATAAACCACGTTATTCGAGATTCAATAAACTGGTACTGATAAACCCAACCAACTATATCAATCTGCTAATTATCATTGAGATCGATGTGAAAAAAAGATCGATTTAATCAAATTACAAGTCCAATTCAGTAAGATCTTTCACAACGGAAAATCTGAACAAAAAACAAAGAATTGCTGATTTAATTTTCCAAAGAGAAGGAAAATGAATAACTAAAACAAATTACGACTATATAAACTTCATAAATTAAACAAAAATAAAAAGGAATTCTACCTTCTTATCAATTAACTTCCGGTTTCCAGCTTCGCTCTTTTTCTCTTCTTCCCGTGAAGTCTGATTCTTCTTCTTTTGTACTCCTCGTTTGTTTGTTGTTATCCCTTCTTTTTAAGCAGATTTCTTTTCTTATTTATTTTTTGCAAATAATAACGGTCCTTAGTTTTTATGGACCGCATCTCGCCTGTAAAAAAAATATTATTATTTTTTGTTTTTTTCCATGACAAATAAAATACAAATGGGTGATTTTCAATATAAAAACTATTTTATTTAAATATTATGAAAATTAAAAAATTAAAAAAAATAGAGATGGAGACAAATTATTTATTTACCTTTTATTTATCATACTATATTTTTTAAATTAATCACCGGTATCCGGTCTATTAATCAATTAATCTAGATCACGTATTGTAGAGGTCTCAACCTAGTTTGCTCTATTCGCAAATGCCAAGATTCGAAACCTTGACATTTTTAAGGCTTTTCAATCATTGGTATCCGATTTATTTACCGACTAATCCAAATCGAATACTGCAAAAACTATAGTGATACTCTCAACCTAGTTTGATCTACTTACAAACGTCAAAGAATCTTGATCTTATTTAAGAAATTTAGTGTTCAATAGATCAACCAGCTGTTAGTTAATATTTTATTAAATAAGCTTTAATATTATATTTATAAATTTATATATCAAAAATAAATTACGTTATAAGTATAAATCATTATTTAAGAAAATAGTCAGAAGTTTTATATTTGAAAGCATTTTAATAATGTATCAACGTGTAATTGATCATTGCAATTTTTTAAGGAAGATGAGCCTGGACTTGTATTACTATTTTAATATATTTAAAGAAAATTGATTATTTATGGATTATTTTTTAATAAATAAATATATATTAAAAAATTTGAAGTTTAATTAATAATCTGTTGATATAATATATTAAATTCTGACATTATAAATGAAAATAATTATTTTATGATATCTATTTAAATTAATATATTAATAAAATAAAAATATATAATTATGAAAAATTGAAGTTTATTCATAATTATAAACGTTAAACACGCTTGAAGGCTAATCAATTTCTTTCATCACAGTGGGTTTTAGTTTGGCAATAGATTTAAAAAAATGGAAATAAATACAATAATTATTATAATAAGAAGGAAAGGAGAAAAAAAGGATTAAATTATGTGGCACTATACAAGATTCTGACTTTGTCATGTGCGTGACAAGTCAACAATCCCATGCATATACGTATGTGTGAAATAAGGTTGTAATTAGAGGTACACAAAAAATTCGAATATTTGATTTTATATAAAAAAATATCCGTAATTGGATTTGGGAAAACCGTTTTTTTAACCGGATAGTATAACTGATTTGGGGAAAAAATGGACGATAGATTTTTTTATCGGATAAAAATAAGTTTTTATCCGAAAAAAATCCGGTATGGGGTTTTAAAAACTAGCCGTTGAGAGGGTTTTTGTGACCGCTTTTTGACAGATTTTTTCTAAAAAAATCATCATTTTACCACCCTAAACATGTATAAATAGGTTGGGATGTATTTGATTAATTACAACTTTCTCAAATCTTATTACACAACACCTAAACATCTTTTAATTCTTATTTTTGTAATTTTTTGTTCATCATGGCTACAAACCGGTTTTTTTATATCCGGTTTTTTTTAAAAAAATGATTTTTTTCAAACCGAAATCAGTTACACTGGTTACACCATCCGACCCTCCAAACCGGTTAGGATCCGAATTGGTTTTTTTAAAATCCGGATTTTTTGCTAGGTGAAAAAACCGGATCAATTTTTATCCGATCCGGATCGATTTTTTATCCGACTTTATGTATGTCTAGTTGTAATCACGGCCAATTATAGTCAGAATTTTGAGTCTGAGTTGGAGTTGTCAAAGCTTGTTACACAAATCTAGATAAATTTGATTTGAAATAATACTAATTTATTTGAATTTAATTTGGCAAAGTTATATATGTAATATTTTATATTTAGATTTATGGTGCGAACCAGACAGTTTTAGTAATTAAGGGATTATTATTGTTGCTTAAGGTCTCGGGATCAAGCACATCGTTTGTACGAGTGTATGAGCATTCATTATCAAATGATTTAGAGTCTTTAGAATAAATACTATCATGTATTAGCCATAAATGACATCATTTAAAACAATATCATATATATATTTAGGACAATCATAAATATAACAATGAGCGACTAGTGACAACCTGATGAGTAAGTGTAAATAGGTGAAGTAATGGCATATAAAGATAAATTACTCCAACGTTTCCGAACACCAGATATATAGGAGGACAACTAGAAGAATATTCAAACCAGACCAATGAAAATTTGATTTTCTCTTAACTGTAGTCTCATCCTACCATCACGAGAAGAATTGAGCGAGGACAGACACATGCCGTCAAAAGAAAACTCGTGACCCAAATATAGGTGTGGAAACGCTTTTTGTTACAATTGTGGAGGAACACCAATCAGCAGCGTTACCCTCGCTTGCTATAACTGCCTTCGTTAGACGTAACAACTCCAATGCTTCACATGGCTTTATTACCATTATTATTGTTTTTGGTAACAAGTAAAAAGTGCATAAAGCTAGCACTGTGTTGTGCTTCTCCTCAGCTTGGTTTGGTCGGCCGTGAGCAGATTACGAACATCATTCGGGGGATTCTGGAATTCGTGCAATCCCAGGTCTTCCTGCGAGCCAATACTTGTCATGGCATCAGCCAAATTGTTCGCTGTGCGAGGGATGTAGTTAATCGACCAATTCCATGGGCGATGAAAGTAATCACGAATCCTTCTTAAGATCTACGTCTCATAATTTGCAAATGGATCTGTCAACAAACGAACAGCTTCTTTGCTGTCAACTTCCACTTCGAGCTGCAGCACTGCCCACAACTCAGCATGAAGGACCGAGCAGCAGCCAATGTTCCTGCAAAAACCAACAATCCAGTTACCATTGATATCTCGTAAAACTCCGCCTCCGGATGCTGCCATGGTCCGCGTGTTAACGCCACCATCAGTGTTCAATTTGAATCCTCTTGTTCTAGGAGGAGCCCACTGTTGATCCTGCATTCGTTCTCCTTAGGAGTTTGCGTTTTGGTTATGTGTGAAGTTTTAATACTCGCAGTAGATGTGGCTTACGACTTTATAAGTACGAATGCTCAACTAAATCTTTCGATCTAGTAGTGGAATCGTCAGGTATCATGAGTAATTTTGAGTAATTTGCATTTTGCAAGTTGGTGAGTCACCCATTCAGGATGGAATAAGATCATCAAGGCTCCCTTACAGAACTGTATTTACAATAGGTGAAAATGGTTTTTTTTCCTATACTTCCTAATTGTTTGCCGTTTTAGTGCAACAAAGCTGTGATGATCCCTTTGTCATAACAAGCAAGCTCTGTTGGAGCGCTGATGGAAACCTAAGAAATGGAGGAGGATCCGTCAGTTGTTGATATTGGTCCTTATTTATATGTAAATGACATTCGACTTTTTATAATCGAATTTAAGTATATTTTGATATTCGATCAAACTAGAGTCGAGTATCATGCTTTGTATATTGAGTCGAGCTCAAATTTGTTAAATTTGAGCTAGTTTGCCTTACATCGGCAAAACTTTTAAGATAATGTTCTAGAAAAAATTAATTCACGAGATAATGCACTCCCCAGATTAATTGCTCAAATAAGGTGAAATCCACAGTGTTGGTCGTAGGTCGCCATGCCTTTCGGGCGACATACTAGGTCGCCATGTCTTCCCGGTGAGCTACAAGAGATTGCATGTGCCATGCACGTCCCAACACGCTGGGCATCCGAGGCCATCCGACCGAGGCCATCCGAACGAGCTATGCGAGGGCAGCCGAGCGAGCTATGCGAGGGAATCCGAGGGCAGCCGAGCGATCTATGCGAGGGCATCCCGAGCGAGCAAGGGTAGGTCGCCCGGAGTGCATGGCGACCTACAAGGTCGCCCGGAAAGCATGGCGACCTATGTGTTGGGACGTGCATGTGCCATGCAACACGTTCATTCACCCTATTTGAGCAATTAATCTTGGGAGTGCATTAGCTCGTGAATTAATTTCTTCCAGAACATTATCTCGAAAGTTTTGCCGTTTACATCCCTAGTGTTCATAAATATTAAATGAATGAACACTCATAATTTTAAATAAAATAATATAAAAATAATTTTAAAATTCTTAACGAGTATAAAACAAATATAAATAAATTTGAAACTAAATAAATCGACACGAAAACAAATTTTAGAAAAATAAAAATTAGCTTAAACTGCTGTTTGATTTTCACTGATGTGAAAGGCAAATTTACCAAAACTGGTGAAAGACGAGGAAAAGGAAGAAAATGTTACTTTTTGTTCTACTTAGGCCTCGATCGAAGGCTAGCGGGCAAGCACTAAAGAGGCCAGAGATTGAGCAAAAGCGAAGGCATCATCTGGGGGACGTTGGATATTGATTAATCTCTTGTTCTAAGAGAAAAACAATGAGTGAAATCTGTAGAAAATTTGGTACGAGATTGAAAATCGTATATGCAAGTTTTTTGTTGCTACATTACGTGTTATGGATCGAATTCATTTAACAGACACTAATTTTGTTTCGAACGAGACAAATCTTATCGGTCATAAGATGTTTGCTTACATGCATTCACTCAAAAATAACATAGGTATGTGCGTGAAAATCAAACGACATCTTCGATACGTCTTCAAAAATCTCTACAACATACCCAGGGGCGTGGCTTGGCGGCGCAAACTGCGTGACTGTGCAGTGCCCTCAAAAAAGTATATATATAGTGGCGTTTTTCTAATAAACGTCACTATAGATGGATCTATTGCGATGTTTTTTTCAAAAAACGCCACTATTATTGCATAAGCCCAAAAAATCCCAAAAAAGTATATATATGGTGGTTTTTTTAATAAACACCACTATATATGGACCTATTGCGACGTTTTTTCAAAAAAAACGCCACTATTATTGCCCCAAAATCGAATATATCTAAAAAATAGGCCCCTTTATAAGAATTTGTACAGGGCCCCCGAAAACCTAGCCACGACCCTGAACGTACCTAATTAGTTTCAGTTGTATCCCTTCAACATGGAACGTCCTCTATACGTACCCAAATTGTACTCTTTATGTACCCATCCTAGAGACGTATCGAATATTTGGATCGATATTGGATTATCATGCACATACTTTAGGGACCTGCACCACCTGATGAGTCCAACCCGCGTCTGACTCTACGTACAAGTATGAGGATTGGGTGCACAAAGGTGAAGAGCCTTTATAGAATGAATCTAGTGGATCTGGCTTTCTCCAACCTCTCGTACGCATGTAAATGAATCGAACGTTCAATGAATCGTTTGGGGAACATTTGTTAGTGTTTGTTTATTTATTAAACGAACTATAAGATCTAAGTTCGTTTAATTAAATGAACGAACACGAACAAAAGGCTCGTTTGTTTATTTACGTTAGTGAACGTTCGATAATTTATTCGTTTATGCTCGTTCATTTATGTTCATTTATGTTCGTTTGTTTATGTTTGTTTATGTCCGTTCGTTTATGTTCTCCAAACCCCTTTGAAATATCAAGACTTGATAAATTTTAACCTTAAACCTATTAATATTTTTATACTCAATTAATTAAACTCGTACTCAAGTCAATTAAAAAAATATAAATCTTAAAATTATTTGAAAAGGGAAAAAAAGCTTTTCAAATATCAACCCAATTAATTTCACGTTCGTTCGTTTGTGTTCATTTACGTTCGTTTATCATTTAAACGAACGAACATGAACGAATACAAACAAACTAATTTTTTTATGAACGAACATGAACAAGAAATTTGATTCGTTTAGTTGTTCGTGTTCGTTTGTTTGCACGATTAAAGTTAAATGAACGAATATGAATATACCCTCGTTCGTATGGGGTTGGGTGAGTTAAACATAATTCTGTATAATTACTACTCATGGTCGGGTTAGGAAAACCTAAAAGGATAACAAATTAACAATAATTCTTTAATCATTTTTTTATAAAATCCTTTAACTAAATTTAAATTATAGTAGAAGTATAATTTAATAATTGTCACAGTTTTATACCATATATATATATATATTTGTATTTAGTTCCTTTACAAATATACAAATCCTTGAGTCTCGATTCTCGAAGTATAATATCAAATACTATTTCCTTGTATTTTCTTCTATTTTTCTCTCTTCTTTCTTTGGCATCTTTGATTGAGCTGAGAAAACCAGTCTCGATGGGTATCTCTATAAGCCCTTGTCTCAAATCAAAGTTGATTTCTCTTCGATTCTTGTGTAAACAGAAAACAAGAAAGATTGGCTGCAAATTGGGTAAGTTTCTCGACAGCGTCACATGCAGAGATCCCGTTGCAAAAGACTCATCCACCGATGAAGACGAAGACAAAATTTTCACTCCAAGAGCATCAATGCACGACGATGGCGATGGCTATGATTGCAGCATCTGTACGGAGACGAAGCCAGTGTATGACTGTTTTGACATCAAAGGTTGTTCCCATGTTTACTGCGCTGAATGCACCGTCAAGTACATCGAGTCCAAGCTCGACGATAACGCGGGCTCGACGATTAAATGTCCGGAGCTGAATTGCGAAGGGGTTTTGGACCCTGAATTCTGCCGCGGGATTCTACCGAGGGCTTTGTTTAATAGATGGGGAAATTCCCTCTGTGAATCTGCTTTCCTCGGCTCCGAGAAATTCTACTGTCCCTACAATGATTGCTCGGTTTTGTTGATCAACGACGGGGAAAGGGTTATCAAGAAATCTAAATGTCCTTTTTGCAAGAGGAAGTTTTGCGTGCTGTGCAAGGTACCTTGGCATTCTGGTTTCAGCTGCGCCGAGTTTCAGAAACTCGAACCCCTTGGCCCGGATGCTCTGTTTGCTGGTTTGGCTGGGAAGAAGAAAAGATGGAAACGATGCCCTTACTGCAAAAACTACGTTGGAAGATCATTTGGTTGCAATTATATCAAATGCAGGTGTGGAAAGGCGTTTTGTTACAATTGTGGAGGAACAATTAACAGCGTTACCCACGCTTGCTATGGACCGAGAGGAAGACCAGCAGGGCATTCGTCTTCTAAAAATTTAAAATCACCATAAATTTCTGATTTTTTTAATGTATTTTTTATATTAAAAAGCATGTTTTCATCTTTTGAATTTTATAAATTTAAATTCATCCCTAACATAAAATCATGTGTTCATCGTCCCAACGTAACAACTCCAGTGCTTCACATGGCTTTATTACTATTGTTATCATTACTTACATGTGAAGTTGTAGTACTTGCGGTAAATGTCCATATGAGTATAATTAGCATAATTTAATAGAAAATATTAAATATAAATATTTCTGAAAATTAAAATACAGTAATACCAAATTATTGTCGAGCAGCTTAAATTTTACTATTTCAAGGTTAAAAATTTCAGGATCTTTTAAGTGAGAACCTCATTGGGTAATATCATTTGCAAAATAAACTATTTGTGATTGAGACGGATAGCACCATTGTTGAATTACTTGATGCATGTGGTGGTTGAGATGGATCATATCGTTTTTAAACAATAAGTATATATATATATTTTTTTGTTCTCGGGCTTCATCATGATTAATCTAGACTCGATCTGTGTCGTATATTCGATTTTGGTGGGTGAGTCTCCTACATACACAAATATTCGAATTTGAGACATTACTTAAACGATATCAAGCTGCTTGCAACTTGACCAACTCTGTTGGTGACAATAAATATTTTTTTTAATAGAGAATGCCTAATTGAAAAAAAATTTAAAGTACAATAAGTGAAATATGAGAAAGTATGACAAAATTGGCTTAATAGGCATGACAGATAGAAAAATTGGCTCGTTAGGCCATCTCCAAAATTAATTTGAGATTTACGGCATTTGCTACAGTGATTCGAAACTCGTCACGTGGGCATGACAGTTCTAATAAAATATATTGTTTATTAAAATTTATTACCCGCGTGATAAATTCTAATAAAACAATTATATTTTTTGAAACTTTTCACGTCGATAATGAGTTCAGATAAAAAAAAATTATTTTGATAATCTCATCATGTAGGCGTAATGAGTTTGAATAAAAATTGAGGAAGATTTGTCAGTTGTTGATAGTTATGGTGGAGACATGGCATAATATCAAAAAAGGCTCCCTGATATTTTATTAAATTGTCACTTTAGCTTCTTTTTTTTTTTTTTGAAGTTTTTTTATCCTAACATTTTATTTTAGGCCAAAAAATTTCTTTATAGATGAAAATCATTCACTTAACAAATGGTTAACGCTCTAAAATATGGATCTTATATTTTACTCTAAAAAAAGGATCAAAGTGATTATTTGATCAAATATTAGAGACATTTTTATTCTAAAATAAAACGTTGAAGTCAAAATGTTCCAAAAGAAATAATAAGAGCTAAAATGACTATTATTATAAACGATAGAGACTAATTTTAACATTATGCATGAAAACATAAGTAAATAAAGTAAAATTTTCCATTCACATAATCGCAAAGCAAACAAATAGAATTCATACCATCAATCAGTTTGTTTAGTGAAATGAGGCATTAGGTTCCTTAAGTAATGTTAAGAGTTCGAATTCTGACGATTGCGAATGAAGTAAACTGGATTGGGAGGACTGCTCTTGCCTTTACAGTACTCAATCTGGATTAGTCTATCAATAGATTGGTTAGTGAACATGTTCGTTTATCTTTCGCAAACACGTTCCTTTATAATAAAAGGAAAAGAGAGTGATAGGAAAAGGTTTTTTGTGTTATAATCGAAAAATGGTAAAACTACACAACTAGTGCTTAAACTTCTTAGAATTCATAGTTTAAACTCCAAATTTCACAATATATTCAATTTAGTATATACCTTCACTAATATTCAAAATATAAAGAAATAAGTGAGCTTCTAAACGAGTTTCTTAATAAACATAAACGAACTAAACACATCTCTGTTCGTGTTTGTTCGTTTATGTTCATGAACATAAAAAATATGTTCATACTCGTTTATTTAGCTTAATAAACGAACATAAACAAACATTATATAAACGGTTAACGAACAATTTACTGGACAATATGTTCATTTACTCCCCTAATACAAAGGTACAATGTTCTACTTTCATGCACTAGAAATAACACATGACCTGCTTTCCCTAATGAACTTAACAGTGATCATGGTGCGTTAGTTGTCCTAGAGGTTGCTGTTAGTGATGCCTGATTTTGAGAATTGATTGATAAAGCAAATTATCCACTCCAGAGATGATGCCATTAATGAGGCCTCCATTTTCCCTCAATTTTGTATTTTGGCTGGAGATTAACTACGTAGATTATAGGGTTAATACAAAAACAAGTGATTAAATTACGTCTCGAAAAATGTTATAGTACCTTAAGATTTTTTCACTAATAATATGTGTCTAATTTTTTCTATGTTAAGTCACATGTGTCACGTTTTAGTAATTTTGAGAATTGTTATTTAAAATAAAAATATTTTTTTGGAAAAAAAAACTTAATTTTTTTTAAATCTTAATAAAAAAAACTCAAAACTTTTAAAACATTAATTTTAATTCCTTTGCCACTGTCGGCCACCATCAACGCTGTCAATCTGTCGAACACCCAACGACGTGTAATCGGCCAACCACCCACGAACAAAACCCTCGTACTTTTGCAACCGATCGAACACCAAATCCACCTAAATCTATAAATTCCTAAACATAAATCCTTAAACCTAATACATAAATCCCTAACCATAATCCTAAATTTATTATCAAATTCAACTCAAATTTATTATTAAATATAATTAATTGAAGCATGGCGTTGATTAGGAGAGCACGGGCGAAGGGAATGATGGGGAGAGCACAAGAGAAGGGGAAGGACAATGCGGCGGAGTGGGGTGGGGTGGGGTTGGAAGGAGTTTTTTTTTAATTTAAAAAAAGTTTAAAAAAAGAAAATCTTAAAATTATCTGAACATAACATGTGTCATTTAACGAGGTTTTTAACGGTGATTAATACCTGGGTACCAAAAATAATAACAGAGAAAATGTTAGGCATCTAAAATTATAACGAAGAAAATTTTAAGCACTTATTTTCAGCAAAAAAAAATCTTTAGGCTCTAAAACGCTTTTTGAGACATAGTTTGAACACTTATTTTGTATTAAACCTAAATTATATCATTATCTTACTTGATCTAATCTAGACATGTAGCACGAATCAAGTGATATTCGTGGTAAAAGAATTATTGTTGTTTCTTGAAGATCTGAAGCACCATAAATGTCAAGGGTGTAAGCGTTCAATTATCAAGAGACTAAGGTGACATTTGGCTCGCTGTAATGTTTCTGAGGGAATTGGAATCTGTGAAGGAATTGGAATCTGTCAAGAATTGGAATCCAATTCCATATTCTGTTTGGTTGGCAGAAAATTGAATTAGAATCCAATTCCATATTCTGTTTGGTTCGCAGACATGTCAGATGAATTTGATTTCAGTAATGTAAAATGATAGAATTACCCTTCTTATTTTTTTTGCTTAATTTTAGTTTGTTTTATAAATTGTATGTAGCAATATATTATAAAAATTTTAAAAATTAAATTTTAATTTTATTGATTAATTATTCATTTCAATAAATTATAAAAATCATGCTAATAAACATCATAAGTTAAAATCATCCCAATTAGGGATAGCCATGGGTCGGGTTTTTGATCCACCCGACCCGACCCGAGAACAAGGGAACCTCCATCCGAGACCCGACCCGACCAAAATAAAGTTTCACCCGACCCGACCCGAATATGTGAATTAGAAACTCGACCCGAAATAATAATAAAATTATTTTTATTCAATAAAAATAGTGACTTAATTGGGAAAAAATATATAGAGAGAGGGGTATTATTGTAATTATTCCTAAATATATAAGGTAAAATTATATTTTTTTTTGGGTCGGGTCGGATATTTTTCACCCTAAACCCGAACCCGACCCGAATATCACAGTTTAAAAAATCGACCTAACCCGACCAAAATAAAGTTTCACCTGACCCAACCCGAATATATGAATTAGAAATCCGACCCAACCCGAAATAATAAAAAAATTATTTTTATTCAATAAAAACAATGACTTAATTGAAAAAAATTATATATAGAGGGGTATTATTGTAATTATTCCTAAATATATAAGGTAAAATTATATATATTTTTGGGTCGGGTGTTTTTCACCCTAAACCCGAACTCAACCCAACCCGAATATCACACTTAAAAAAACCGACTCGACCCGACCAAAAAAAAGTTTCACCCGACCTGACCCGAATATATGAATTAGAAACCCGACCCGACCCGAAATAAAAAAATATTTTTATTCAATATATAAATAAGTTACCAAAAGATTGATGATGGTAGTATTGTCAAATTTCAATTCTCTCTAACAAGGGAATTGAATTCCATCATAGAATGAATAGAATTCACTTTCCCTCATTTGATGGAAAGTTGAAGTCATTAGGGATTTCAATTCCCTTGGAAAACTTAAACCAAACATAGAAAAGTGATGAAATTGTATTCTAATTCCCCTAATTCCAAGGGCACCTAATAATTATCTTTTAACCGATACTGTCATTGGACGTGACACCTTTAGATCACAAATTCTATGGCCCATAATCCAGAAGAGATTTGGTCTGAGAAACCCAAATCGTTTCTCAGTTCAATCACTGGTCTGATTTAGTCTGGCCTTTACTTAACAAAGCCTTTCTCTTTCATAACCATGGAGTAAATGGAAGAAAGCATTGCGATTTTCCCTGCTCACGCACCTAGAAACAAAGGAACTTAGATTCCAGCGGTGATCGTCAATTCAAGAGCTCATATTAAGCATTTGGGAGCTTGAGATCGTCTGAAGTTAAAGATCGCGTGGTGGGATTTTGCTTCTCTTTGGGGGCGAAAACGTTGATAAAATGGAGGCTGATAGGTGCCCATACCATTCATCTTTAGTTTCCTGCGATTGTTATAATGAAATAAATATTGATTTTTTAAATTTCATTTTACAAATGTTTCGTGTTAGGTTGAACTCTCCAAGTACATCCGTAATTACTTTTGAAGTATTGGGTCATCAACTACAATTCTC